GATCTTTGCGTAGTAGCAACCTACACTATCTACCACAGAGGACAGATAAATCCAAATTCATCTGAAGTCCTCCTTGCCCCTTGCCATGTGGCTTTTTTTTTGCCCCCAAGCCTCTGGCAAATTCATTTGAGCACAGGGGCTTTATTTAGGCAAATTAAATCCAAAAACAACTCTTTTAGGATTCCTGAAGTGTGGTTGACTTAACAGCACGTTAAAGATGTAGTATAGCACTTTACAAACCTTTATCACTCAAGGGTTCAATTGATTCAAAGCTGCCTTGTCCACTGTCGGAAGGGCTGTCTACTTCTTGTGAAACTAGTTTTACATCATCGATTTCTAAGTGAACCTAAAAAAAATATGAATAAGCTTTGCATTAACCAGAAAGGAACAGAGGGCTAGCTTAATTTAAGTACATACTGATAGACAAATCATCATGGGATCATCAGGCTGAATTAGGGAAAGAATTACTACAATGGTTGAAGGATGACATTTTTTTTTTTGTTGGGCGTGGGGCTTAAACTCTGAGCCTGGGCGCTGTCCCTCAGCTCTTCAGCTCAAGGGGAGCGCTCTACCACTTGAGCTACAGCGCCACTTCCGGTTTTCTGGTGGTTTATTGGAGATAGGAGTCTCATGGTCTCTCCTGCCCTGGCTGGCTTTGAACCGCGATCCTGAGATCTCAGCCTCCTGAGTAGCTAGGATTACAGGCATGAGCCACCAGCGCCCAGCTGAAGGATGACATTTAAAATTACAGGATGAAAAAAAAGAAACTACTTGCTACAGGCTGCTAGATGAAGGGCTGGAATTGTGGCTTGGTGGTACAACACAATATAGGAAACACAAAACTCTGAGTTCAAACCCCAGTACAACATAAAATCTTCTACCCAGGCTGGCTACTCAGCTTTCTGAGTAGCTAGGATTACTGGCATAAGCTACAAGCTCCCTGTGCATTCATCTGCTGACAGGTACTCAGGTTGATTACATATCTTAGCTATTGTGAATAGTGCCACAATAAACACTGGTATTCTAGTATGTCTTTCGTATGCTCTTATCATTTCCAAGAATGCTTTCCTTGATTAAACAACAAATTACAAGGAAATAGCAGAAGGGACTCTATAGATTAGAGAGAGAATGCAAGAGATACATAATATAAGGGTAGATGGATCAACAATTATAATATGCAGACTGAATCCTTTTTTTTTGTTTTTGTTTTTTGGTGGGAGATTGGTGCTTGAACTGGATTATCTGGCACTTTATGCTCATTAGTAGGCACTGTACTACCTGAGCCAGGACTCTAACACCCCAGATTCTGAATTTTGAGTCGAACAGAAACGGAAAATATTTTTGAATCAAAGAAATCTGAATCGGACTGGGAATGTGGTTTAGTGGTAGAGTGGTTGCCTGGCATGCATGAAACCCTGGGTTCTATTTCTTCAGTACTATATAAACAGAAAAAGCTGGGAATGGTACTGTGGATCAAGTGGTAGAGTGCTAGCCTTGAGCAAAAGAAGCTCAAGGACAGTGCTCAGGCCCTTTCAAGCTCCAGGACTGGCAAAAAATATACACATATATATATAAAATAAATTTGAATATTGACTAGATGTTATTAATCTAGCCAAAGTCAATGACTAGATGGTATTAATGTTGTGATTATCCTTTTTTGGACAGCCCTTGTCTTTGAGAAATGCACATTGAAATATCTGTGGATGAGAAAGTATGATTTCTGAGATTTTTTTCTTTTGCCAGTCCTTGGGCTTGAACTCAAGGTCTTGTTTGGTTGCTGCCCCTGAGCTTCTTTTGCTTAAGGCTAGTGTTCTACCACTTGAGCCACAGCTTCACTTCTGGCTTTTTTGATAGTTTATTAAAGATAAAGAGTCTAATGGTGAGCTGGGAAGGTGGCTCAGTGGTAGAGTGCTTGCCAATTGCATGCATGAGGCCCTGGGTTCGATTCTTCAGTACCACATAAGCAAAAAAGCCAGAAGTGGTGCTGTGGCTCAAGTGGTAGAGCACTAGCCTTGAGCTGAAGAGCTGAGGGACAGCACCCAGGCCCAGAGTTCAGGCCCCACAACCAGGGGCGGGGGGGTGGGGAGAGTCTCATGGATTTTCCTGCCAGGGCTGGCTTCAAACCATGATTCAGCTAGAATAACAGGTATGACATGCCACTGTCAGGCTTGAGATTTTCTTCCAATGTAAGGAAAAAGGAAGAGGTACAGGATCAGCCATAACAGTCAAAGTAAGGCCATGGGTTCATCATAAATATCTTTTATATTTGTACCAATTAGAAAATTTCTAATAAAATTTAAATGTCCCAAAAGCTGAGTGTAATATTGCAAGTCTAGCTGAGGCAAGAGGCCAGCCTGATCTAAACAGTGAGATCATGTTTTGAAAATAAGTTATTTTACCCAGTGCCAATGGCTCACACCTGTAATCCTATAGAACTACTCAGGAGGCTGAGATCTGAGGATTATGGTTCAAAGCCAGCCCAATGAGACTCTTCTTTTTATTTATTTTTGCAAATCCTGGCCCTTGAACTCAAGGCATGTTTACTGTCTATGAGCCACTTTGTCTCAAGACAAGCACTCTACCACTTGAGCCACAGTACCACTTCCTGTTTTTTCTGAGTAGTTTATTAGAGATGAGTCTCACAGACTTTCCTGCTGGCTTTGAATTGTGATCCTCAGATCTCAGCCTCCTGAGTAGCTAGAATTACAGGCTTGAGTCACCATTGCCTGGCTTCATGAGACTTACCTCCAATTAACCATCAGAAAACCAGAAGTGGTGCTGTGGCTCAAAGTGGTAGAGAACTAGTCTAGAGTGAAAAAGCTCAGGGACAGTGCCCAGACCCTGAGTTCAAGCTCCATGACTGACAAAGAAAAGGCAAGGAAAGGAAAGGAAAAAGAAGAGAAGAGAAAGAAAATAAGTAATTCTAGTGAGGGAAGGGGCAGGATGGGGGGGAAGAGAGAGAATGCTGAAAGCAGTGATATTCATCAAGATGTAATATGTTTATAAACTGCTTTGGGAAATAGTTTCTTTCCTACTAGAGCTTCGTGGATTAGGGTGAGGTCTGATAGGATACACAAGGTCAAATCTTGTCTCTAAAAGTCTGATATTTTAAATGCAGCAATAGTAACTCACTAGACACTATGTTGAAAATGAACTATACAACTTGTGGGTGGTGATTGGAGGGAAAAACTGGGGGAGGGCTGGGAAGGTGGCTCAGTGGTAGAGCGCTTGCCTTGCATGCATGAGGCCCTAGGTTCCATTCCTCAGCACCCCATAAGCAGAAAAAACAGAAGTGGCGCTGTGGCTCAAGTGGTAGAG